AAGGAAGTTTGTGCGTGTTCCTTTTAGTTCTAGTTATAATAATTAACAGACATCTATCGGAGAACTCAGTAGTATCGGTAGTTATATTCACTTAGTCCGTGGAGCAGTACTGAGGGTCATGTCCAAATATGAGCGTCAGTGATTAGATGGCATGAATAAGATGTAGCGGGCTAATGTTTCTCGCTTCTAGAAGTTTCATATGTGTACGTTTGAGCACGTTTTTATTATCAAGTCATAATAAGCATTATGCCAATATTAGTATTTTGCGATCAAAGCAACGACCGCATGGGCATTTTTTCTGTCAAAATTGGGTTCCGAATGCATGAAACGGTTGCATCAAGTGTGAGGTATTTATGCTAAGCACTCCACTGTTAATTTTGCGTTCATTTCTCTCACGAAGTATTGTAGAGAATTGCTAAATTCTATATGAGATCCACGACTCAAAATAGGAATCATTGTACGGATTTTGTTTGCTGAAAAAAATAGCCTTACTATATTAACAAATAACGTATAAAACGCTTATAAGGTTTCAGGATCGTTTAGTGGCAAGTTTGCCAGAAAATACGAAAAGGAAGCGATATTGCTGGATGTTTGTTTTAGTAAATCAAAAGCACGTTCTTTCACAGACATAACCCAGCCGACGCTTTCAAATAGGCGTGATCAACTCGTCTTGTTGTTTGTTGTCTGGGGGCCGAAAGGCATATAGTGTACCACAGTCTCGGGTCGTAATCTATCTCAGATATTATTAATATTTTGAAATGCAAGAAGTCTCTTCATCATTTCAAGCAAATATGCAGATGAATAACCGTTCAGGTACATCTGAATTTTTTCACATAACCTATTGTCTCCAGTGCTAAGACCCGAATATCTCAATTACACCACTGGTGATTACGCGCCTTTTGGCTCTTATTACTCTGAAAAGTTCTCCGAGAGACGCATTAATACAAATACTGCGCCTGTCTACTCAAATAATAATCCTGGCCCCCCTCGGCGGAAAATAACTCAAAGAAGAATGTCAAGTAAATTCATTTTTTACTCATTTTCATTTACCCTCCAGGTCATCCTTATTATTGTCCTGTGCGAAATCAGCATCCGCAAGAAACGAACTACACAGATTCCACGGAATATCCTTCTGGTACAGAACATCCTGCTTTCCACGCTGGGGCCTCTACCGTACCTGTTCAATTAAACACGTCTTTCCCCGCTGCCCGGTGGGATCAGGACAGTCTCTGCAGAAACAAAACTCCAGCTCGTTCTCCTGGGCGATTCCAACCACCATCTTCCGCAATCCATCAGCGATCTTCTGGTGCAAGCTCCGCCGGTTCCTCACCTACAACGCAAAGCAACGCATCAGTTTCCCATCCCAGGTCTTACAGTCACGGTCAAGCAGAACAACTCCGGCGGTCTAGAGAGTCGACTACTTTTGCACTCATTGACAATCAGCTCTCAAAACCTCCGCTTAACCAGGTGCGCGACATGTACTTGCAGAACCGCGGTGGTTCCAGTACTTCTAGTTCCACACCAACCAGGACGACGAAAAAAGCAAACCTGTCGGCTGTCCACACTGTTGTGCGTTTTAGGATTAGGGAGTACCTACTTCCCATGATTGGTCACATGCGGAAGATGTTGGATATCCTCTTTTCGTCGCAGTATCCGGATTACAATTCGAGTGTGCGCGACGTACTGGCATCCCAACTTTTCGGTCAGACACAATTGCCTTGTTCTCTTTCTTGCGAATTTTGTGAGCGCTTCCGATATCAGTTGGATAGACAGACGCCAAGTAGAAAGCTTATCTTTAGCAGAACATTAATGCCAACAAAATCTTCTCCACCGTCAGATAAACACCTTGCCACAATGTCCGCACCAGAATCCGGTGCCAGTCGTGCTCCCAGTCCTGATCGAGACTATTCCACTAATGGACTATCAGCTGTAGAAACGAAGCCAGAGCCTTCGTCGGAAACCACTCCCTTGTCATCCCCGTCTTCGCCATTACTCAATTTTGACCTACTTGAACCAGCCTCGGAAGCCGATCTCTTGGAGGAACTTCTTGACGTTGTGGACGAGGTTCATTCCCTACCCACTTCTCAGGACCACCTAGATGAAGTTCGTCTCCCAGACATTAAACTTTCTCCCTCGCGCATTCGTTTGGACAGCGTCTCAGCTCAACTTCAGGAGGGCTTTGATTTTGAGTCGATGTACTGGCCGTCCGGCAACCTGGACTTCGACGTCTGTCCCGAAGAGTCGGTTGAGCTGCAAAACTTAATTCTGGGTTCCAATGCCGATGCCAAATTTGACTCTCTTGCTGACGACGTATCTACCTTACCAGCTCTTGACGACCTCGAGTCTCTGACCAAGACTCCTTTTTCGGATTACACTTCTCTTGACTCAAATGTGAGCGTTAAGAAAGAACCATTTTCTTTGCAGTTTCCCCCACCAAGATCATGCGACTCTAGTAGTAGCAGTTGTGAAAGTCAGCAACAATACTAAGTGCTTTTCAGTACTACCAATCACGCTGTACAGAAGACTTCTAGTCGATGCCGCTTGTATATATTTTCCTTACGTATCTAGTGCTTACCAATCAGCAATTGTTCATATTTTGTTATCAGATTTTCTGTAGTCATTTCACAGCACCAATCTTATGTTTTACTACCTGGTCGGAGCCCTTTTGTCCACTTCCGGCTTTTCCCCTTGGATAAAAAAAACTTATTATCAGCACGCGCGCTGCTTGGCTCCTTAAAGCCTTATCAGCCTGGTGGGTTTGATATTATGCCTGCCTCATTTATCATTTGTATTCTTATGTCAAAAGAATATTGCAATAACTAGCTCACTGTGTTTTTTTCGTAAAACGGACTTCGTGCTTTGGGCGATTTCGTTCCTTGATCGTCTATACTGTTTGTTTATATATCTTAATTGTTGAAACACTAGGGGAGCCTTCACTGTAGCTCTGGCTTGCCATTATGCCTCTTCCGTTGATATATAGCTTTTTCTCCAAAGATTGTTGTCTAGACTTCGCTAGCTAAGCGCGTGCCACTTGTACAGGATCTCCCAATGCGGGAATCGCTCTTTATGTCTTCGTGGTTGATTTCGCTGGCACTGATTTCAAGTTGCTCACTGGGGAGTCTAGCGCGTTCTAAAATTTGAACCCCGGTTGGCAGGTTCGTAGCTAAATTTTGCTCAGTCTACTAGATAGGATAGTGGTTGCTTCGAAGGTTTCTATGACCCAGACGTGTGGAATAGCGTTGCCGACACTAACCATGG